TCTCCTGAAGTCTTAGATGTCCCTTAGTGCCACTCCTGTAGTACACCTTAGGCCAAAGCAACAGTTCCTGGGCTAGGCTAACTTAGGAGTCTCTGCATAACTTAAGAAGAATTCAGACCCTCTTTCCCGAAGACATGAGTAATATAGGCCGTCTGTTCTGGCATTTGAACTACATACATAGAACCTACTCTTCCATCTTGTCTGACTTGGTCTCCTGACTTTGCTTTGCAGACAGCAGTGGCCCTTCCAGCACTGTGTCCAGTGCTGGTCCTTCCTCCCCTACTGCAGTGGATGGTAACTGCCATTTTGGCTTCAGTGATCACCCCTCCTTAAATTCACATGTGACTGAAGAACATCAAGGCCTTGGGCTGCTCCAGGAGACCATTGGGAATGGAGCACAAGAGCTCCCCATAGAAGGGGAGCAAGAGCCTTTTGAACGAAACCAGTCCTCACAGGAACCACCTGTGGAAACCAGCCAGCCATGCCAGAAGGTTGCTGAGGAGGTCAGCCAACCATGCCAGAACATCCCTGAAGAGGTCAGCCAGCCATGCCAGGAAGTCCCTGACATCAGCCAGCCATGCAAGGAGAACCATGATGATGTTAACCAGACATGCCAGGAGGTCCCTCAGATCAGCCAACCATGCCAGAATGCCAGCCAACTGTACCAGAAAGTCTCTGAGGAAGCTTGCAAGCTTTGCCAGGAGAACTCTGAGGAGGTCAACCAGCCATGCCAGGGGGTCCCTGTGGAGGTTGGCAGGCGGGTCCCTGGGTTCCCTGTAGGGGTTGGTGGCCTGGGCCAGGAAATCCTCGTGGAAGTCGGCAAACCAGCCCAAGGGATCCCTGAGGAGCTCAGCCAGCCATGCCAGGAATTCTCTGGGGACATTGGCAGGCTGGCCCAAGAGGCTTCTGCAATCATTTTGTTGTCTCAGGACATCCCAGAGGTCGATAAACCATCCCAAGAGTTCCCTGGGGAGGGTGATCTGCATGTCCAGGAGGTCCCAGAGGAGGTGAATCAGCAGCAGTCCTATGTGGTCCCTGAGTTGATTGACCAGCTGTCTGGAGAGGATGTTCAAGTCCAGTATCCATCTAGCAATGTAAACCCTCAGAGCCAGTCTCTAGCCCGTGACCAGAACTCACCCCTTCCGCCAGCAATATGTGATTAATCATTTTCTCATTAGTGGTGTCACACTATACCAGACATTTGAGCTAGCAGATTTTTCTGTTGGCTAACTCACCCGCCAGCATTAAGGCCTTGGATCTCACCAGAGGTGTCTGGGAAGCAGTCCTCTTGGCATGAAGCATACCTGTGCCAGAGCTGGGCTTGGGGAGGAGCCAACTTCACTGTTAAAGCAGCTGTTGACTTCTCACCCAGCCATTAGACTTGAATACGATTTCTTTCAAGAGGTAAATGGGTCTATCATTACCTAACTTTCTCTGATCATCCCAGGAAATCCCAGATTGGTAAAGGAACTGCCACTTAACTGCTGAAGACAACACCTGGGGGTAGCTAGTGCAAAAGGGGACTCCAAGGTCTCTACTTTTCCGGAAAATATTCACAACTTTTCAAGGTACCCTTAGACCATATGCGCATTCAGGGGACTCTTGTCTTTGTTAGTATCCTCAGGTGGGCACAGGCTGGCTGTCTGAAATGTCTGGGAAAAAAGAGTTCCTTTCCCAAACAAATATCCATCATGGCCACAAATGTTTAGATTGGGTTTATGGATGTTTCCATATCATCCCCAGGTGCCCTCTCTGCCCTAGTCCTGTTCTTCTGGGCAATAGCTCCAGGGAAAAATAGGTATTAGATTGCTGTGAAAATTTCAGAGTAACTACTTAAAATGCTCTGGGTCTTCTTGGCCAATCTGTAAAGCTGGGCCTCCTTTTGTTGTGGGACTATATGGCTTAGGAGATACTGTAGTAGAGAAAAATCAGGTTCTATTTTAAGCAATCAGCAGAGATCAGTATTGTACAGACATGAGCAAAGATTACATATATATTTCTGTAGTTGAGCCAGGGACAGACTGGCCAAAGACCAAATACTCCAGGGTCCCCATAGGATTTGTCCTCATATCATTGTGTCTTTAAGGCCAGGTGTGATTATGAAGCTTTTCCCAAAGATCTGGGGATGGGGATGGGGATGGGGGTGAGTAGGAGGGGTAATGTGGTCATTGGAGTTGGGGGCCGGAACATTATGAGTGCTCAATAAATATAAAATAATGAGAATAGTCAACCATAATAATGGTGGTGATGATGTCCTTTTGAATTCAAGAATGAATGACTGGGGACTTCCCTGGCGGCACAGTGGTTAAGACTCTGTGCTCCCAATGCAGGGGGCCGGGGTTCAATCCCTGGTCGGGGAACTAAATCCCACATGCATGCTGCAACTAAGAGTTCGCATGCTACAACTAAGGAGGCTGCTGGCCGCAACTAAGGAGCACCTGTGCTGCAACTAAGGAGTCTGTGAGCCACAACTAAGATCTGGCACAACCAAATAAATAAATATTAAAAAAAAAAAAAGAATGAATGACTGTAGGTCAGTCATGTCTGTGACTGAATTAATCTGAACCAGTCAAAAGCCATTG